TTATTTTACTTTATCAACTTCCAATTAACAGAATTACTTAATCACTTTCCTTACTCTATATGAACACTTCTCTGTTACCTTGAGTTATGTTACGAGACGAGACGGTCAAAAACTGTGTGCTTCCTACCAACACTGTCTTCCTCCATGCAGTGAAGCCACAGTTATATAGTCTCCTACTGACACCTTGTGGCCAATAGCCAAAATACAATGTATGGCTCCTACATATATAATGTTTTGAATTCAAATAGATGCATTTTTAAAGACGTTTAAAAACCAACCTTAAAATAAATATGTGTAGGTAAATTCAATAAATGTAGAAATAAAACATAAAATGGAGAAAAAAATGTTTCCTGAGTGCTTTTGTTTACATTTTGTTATTATAAGTTTTCAGAAACAATATAAAAGGTGCAAATTCCACTTCATTTATTCATCTTACATAAACTTTTAAGAATAATCACATTTAATTGCATCCAAAATAAAAGTTTGTTTTGACGCAAGATTATGTGTGTATTTTTTTTTTTATTCATTAATTATTTTCATTTGGCTTAGTCCCTTATTTATCAGAAGTGCCACTATACTCCCTGCTGAAAAATCCATCTTAAACCAGCCTAGGCTGGTTGGCTGGTTTTAGAGGGGTATTGGCCATTTCCAGGCTGGTTTCCAGCCATTTCCAGCCTGGTCTTAGCTAGTCAGGCTGGAAAATGACCAGCTAAATCCAGCTAAAACCAGCCTGGTTTAAGTTGGACATAGCTGGTTTTGGCAGGGCTCCCAGCCTGGCTAGGCTAGTCAAGCTGGTCTTTGCTGGTCATCTCCCAGCCTGACCAGCCTAGTTATAGTATAGCTATAGTCTGGTTCAAAACACATGGTAGTATTAACCATAAATTATAATTTATAATATTTAAAGTTCTACCTAAACAACACTCTTACTCTATAGACTTTGAAAAACTGAATTTTTACACAGGTTAACATAAAGATATTGCGGTAACAGTTATGTAATTGCCTCAGTGAAGTAAGCAATAACGTGTGGCCATTTTACACTCTAAATGCGTCTTAAATAGACATTACAGTGAGATGAATGTAATAAAATGAATTGTTTTAATTAATTTACGTAGGCTACTTTATTATAATATGGTTCAAAAACAACAGTATTTGCCATAAATTATTATTTACAATATTTTAAATTGTACCTACATTCTTGCTTTGTATAAACTTCTGAAAAGCTGAATTGTTACATATGTTAACAAAGATAATTGAGGTAAAGTTGGTTTTGTATTTGCACATTCGTTCAGTGACAACTTGTGACACGGTCCCTGTATCGGTAACCATGGTAAATTGAATATTGGGTCTGAAATCTCCTCTAAGTTTGACTTAAAAACAACATAGGCACTATTTATTTGACTGTGAACAACGTCGTACTTTGATAATATGATTTCCCTATTTAGAATTAGCAAATAATTATTTTATTAATTAGTATATATTAAGTTAGTTAAGGAGAAAGTCAGAATGGGCGAATATAAAATCAACTTTAACTCAACACAATACAAAGATATTGCGGTAACAGTTATGTAAACAATGCAGTGATGTGTAGCTAAGCTGAACTATACTACTTCATAGTGAAGTAAACAATAACATGTGGTGATTTTACACTCTAAATGTGTCTTAAATAAACATTACAGTTAAGTAAATGTAATAAAATAAACTATTTTAATTAATTCACATAGGCTACTTTTCTATGGTTTGCTTCAAAGCACAACAGTATTTGCCATAAATTATTATTGATAATATTCAAAGTTGTACCTACATTCTTGCTTTATATAAACTACTGAAAAGCTGAATTGTTACATATGTTAACAAAGATAATTGAGGTAAAGTTGGTTTTGTATTTGCACATTCGTTCAGTGACAACTTGTGACACGGTCCCTGTATTGTTTACCATGTTACTTTGAATATTGGGTCTGAAATCTCATCTAAGTATGACTTGAAAACAACATAGGCACTATTTATTTGACTGTGAACAATGTCGTTCTTTGATAATATAATTTCTCTATTTGGTGAATATTTAAAGTTGTATCTACATTCTTGCTTAGTACAGACTACTGAAAAACTGAATTTTTACACACGTTTACAGAAAGATATTGCAGTAAGTTATGTAAACATCGCAGTGACGTGTAAGTTGAACGTAGGACTGCCTCATAGTGAAGTAAACAATAACGTGTGGCCATTTTACACTCTAAATGTGTCTAATATAGACATTACAGTTAAATAAATATAATAAATTGAACTATTTTAAGTAAATCACGTAGGCTACTTTATTATAGTATGGTTCAAAAGACAACAGTATTTGCCAGAAATTATTATTTATATTATTTAAAGTTGTATCTACTTTCTTGCTTTGTACAGACTACTGAAAAACTGTATTTTTACATGCATTAACAGACAGATATTGTGGTAACGGTTATGTAAACATTGCAGTGACGTGCAAGTTGAGTGTATAACTGCCTCATAGTGAAGTAAACAATCAGGTGTGGCCATTTTACACTCTAAATGTGTCTTAAATAAACATTACAGTTAAGTAAATGTAATAAAATAAACTATTTTAATTAATTCACATAGGCTACTTTTCTATGGTATGCTTCAAAACACAACAGTATTTGCCATAAATTATTATTGATAATATTCAAAGTTGTACCTACATTCTTGCTTTATATAAACTACTGAAAAGCTGAATTGTTACATATGTTAACAAAGATAATTGAGGTAAAGTTGGTTTTGTATTTGCACATTCGTTCAGTGACAACTTGTGACACGGTCCCTGTATTGTTTACCATGTTACTTTGAATATTGGGTCTGAAATCTCATCTAAGTATGACTTGAAAACAACATAGGCACTATTTATTTGACTGTGAACAATGTCGTTCTTTGATAATATAATTTCTCTATTTGGTGAATATTTAAAGTTGTATCTACATTCTTGCTTAGTACAGACTACTGAAAAACTGAATTTTTACACACGTTAACAGAAAGATATTGCAGTAAGTTATGTAAACATCGCAGTGACGTGTAAGTTGAACGTAGGACTGCCTCATAGTGAAGTAAACAATAACGTGTGGCCATTTTACACTCTAAATGTGTCTAATATAGACATTACAGTTAAATAAATATAATAAATTGAACTATTTTAAGTAAATCACGTAGGCTACTTTATTATAGTATGGTTCAAAAGACAACAGTATTTGCCATAAATTATTATTTATATTATTTAAAGTTGTATCTACTTTCTTGCTTTGTACAGACTACTGAAAAACTTAATTTTTACATGCATTAACAGAAAGATATTGTGGTAACGGTTATGTAAACATTGCAGTGACGTGCAAGTTGAGTGTATAACTGCCTCATAGTGAAGTAAACAATCAGGTGTGGCCATTTTACACTCTAAATGTGTCTTAAATAAACATTACAGTTAAGTAAATGTAATAAAATAAACTATTTTAATTAATTCACATAGGCTACTTTTCTATGGTATGCTTCAAAACACAACAGTATTTGCCATAAATTATTATTGATAATATTCAAAGTTGTACCTACATTCTTGCTTTATATAAACTACTGAAAAGCTGAATTGTTACATATGTTAACAAAGATAATTGAGGTAAAGTTGGTTTTGTATTTGCACATTCGTTCAGTGACAACTTGTGACACGGTCCCTGTATTGTTTACCATGTTACTTTGAATATTGGGTCTGAAATCTCATCTAAGTATGACTTGAAAACAACATAGGCACTATTTATTTGACTGTGAACAATGTCGTTCTTTGATAATATAATTTCTCTATTTGGTGAATATTTAAAGTTGTATCTACATTCTTGCTTAGTACAGACTACTGAAAAACTGAATTTTTACACACGTTTACAGAAAGATATTGCAGTAAGTTATGTAAACATCGCAGTGACGTGTAAGTTGAACGTAGGACTGCCTCATAGTGAAGTAAACAATAACGTGTGGCCATTTTACACTCTAAATGTGTCTAATATAGACATTACAGTTAAATAAATATAATAAATTGAACTATTTTAAGTAAATCACGTAGGCTACTTTATTATAGTATGGTTCAAAAGACAACAGTATTTGCCATAAATTATTATTTATATTATTTAAAGTTGTATCTACTTTCTTGCTTTGTACAGACTACTGAAAAACTTAATTTTTACATGCATTAACAGAAAGATATTGCGGTAACGGTTATGTAAACATTGCAGTGACGTGCAAGTTGAGTGTATAGCTGCCTCATAGTGAAGTAAACAATCAGGTGTGGCCATTTTACACTTTAAATGTGTCTTAAATAAACATTACAGTTAATTAAATGTAATAAAATAAACTATTTTAATTAATTCACATAGGCTACTTTTCTATGGTATGCTTCAAAGCACAACAGTATTTGCCATAAATTATTATTGATAATATTCAAAGTTGTACCTACATTCTTGCTTTATATAAACTACTGAAAAGCTGAATTGTTACATATGTTAACAAAGATAATTGGGGTAAAGTTGGTTTTGTATTTGCACATTCGTTCAGTGACTACTTGTGACACGGTCCCTGTATTGTTTACCATGTTACTTTGAATATTGGGTCTGAAATCTCATCTAAGTATGACTTGAAAACAACATAGGTACTATTTATTTGACTGTGAACAATGTCGTACTTTGATAATATTATATCCCTATTTAGAATTAGCAAATAATTGTTTCATTAATAGAAATATACTAAGTTAGTTAAGGTGAAAGTCTGAATGTGCGAATATAAAACCAATATTAACTCAATACAATACAAAGATATTGCGGTAACAGTTATGTAAACAATGCAGTGACGTGTAGCTAAGCTGAACTATTATTTAACTGCCTCATAGTGAAATAAACAATAACGTGTGACCATTTTACACTCTAAATGTGTCTTAAGAAGGCATTACAGGTAAATAAATGTAAGGAATTGAATAATTTTACCTGTACGCCAGTGTCATGCACTCAAACAGGCGTGTGAGAGTCGGGTCAATGCTCAACCGTCTGGAGCTCAACGGACCGAAGCTGTAGGTCTGGCAGGCCGGTTTATTAGCAGTGTCGAAATCATAATTATCATAATAATTATAAAGAGCTGCGCTTCTCCTCCGGACTGAGTCGCTGTGTGGGGAAGAAACCATGAAGTGTCCGCTGTGGATCACCTGAGTCCGGCGGACGGAACCGAATCCCGTCCCCGCGTCCACACTGGGCAGCTGATCATCCGGATCCGAATCCGACTCTGAATCAGGCCCGATCTGATTCGGTTCTGCGGTTTCTGAATACTCTGCTTTTGCCATCGCAAGAGAACTAGTGTTATTCACTCTTCACAAACTGCACTGAGAGAAATGCTCCATCTGAAGGGGGAGCGGCGCGCACTACAGGTCAAAGTTCAAGTTTTTTTTAATATATATATTCTTTGTTATTAAACATTTACATAACAAATAGGCATTCTCGTGTTTCATTTTAAATATATGTAAACACTATGTCAAGCAGTATACACTATTAAAAACGTCCGCAGTTTTGTGATTCATGTTTTTATTTATTTTTCCCCCATTTATTTCTGCTTTTGACTTGCAATATAGGAGCTTGATCTTCTTACAACAACTTTCAACCTATAAAAATTCCCCTTTCATTAACATTTGTAAAAGTTTGCAATCTATATTGTCTGATTGGTGCTGGATATTACGCTACAGAAACCTTGTAATGAATTGCCAGCACATTCTGTTATTGACTCACTTATTTCTCTAGATATTATTTCTTATACATCATAATATTACTGCTAAAATGTCAATAAAGTCACTTTGTTAAACTGTAGAGTTGAATTTACAACATCAAATGTCGACAGAGCAGAGATCAACATCATATAATGCAATTCATAAGCGTAAATAAAAGGAAAACACGTGTGAATCACAAAATATGGAAACTGTCAATTGGCAGATATTTGTTTACAGTGTATAATACACAAAACAGTACAAAAATATACAATTTAAACTAAATGAAAGACAACACACAAATTAAATTACATTAAGCAGGGGTAAGAAAGAGTAGTTTTTGACATTAAATGTTCAAGCATGAAAAAAGCTCATTATTTTAGAATACAAAACCAAATTATTTACATACATACATATATATATATATATACAAAAATAAAATCTATGAATATAAATATACATTTTTCAAATAGCCTACATGCTTGTGTGTGTTTCTGCTGGACAAAAATTAATCACGATTAATCAGATCCAAAAAATAAAAGTGTGGATTTTCATTCTAAACTACAATCTTTCTGAAAAATTCATTCATTCATTCATTCATTCATTCATTCATTTATTTTATTTCAGCTTAGTCCCTTTTAATCTGGAGTCACCACAGCACAATGAACCGCCAACGTATCCAGCATGTTTTTATGCAACTGATGCCCTTCCAGCTGCAACCCATAACTGGGAAACACCCATGCACTCTCATTTACACTCATGCACTACGGACAATTCAATCCCCCTATAGCGCATGTGTTTGGACTGTGGGGGAAACTGGAGCACCCGGAGGAAACCCACACCAACACAGGGAGAACATACAAACTCCACACAGAAATGCCAAGTGACCCAGCCGGGACTCGAACCAACGAGCGTCTGGCTGTGAGGCGAGAGCGTACCCATTGCGCCACCGTGCTGCCCCCTAATAAAATATAGGTAAAATATTACAAAATGCAAAACCAAAATATCTACATGTATATTTACATATTTCTTGTGTTAGATACAAATATTTAATTTATAAATATAAATTAACCGGGACTCAAACCAGCGACTTTCTTGCTGTGAGGCCACAGTGCTAACCACTGAGTCACCGTGCCACCCTATATGATGAACATTCATTCATCAGCTTAGTCCTTTTATTCATCAGAGGTCACCACAGCGGAATGAACCGCCAACTTATCCTGCATATATTTTACACAACGGATGACCTTCCAGCTGCAACCCAGTACTGGGAAACACCCATACACACTCATTCACACACACACACACACACACACACACACACACACTCATACAGTATGGCCTATTTAGCTTACCCAATTCACCTGTACCACATGTGTTTGGACTGTGGGGGAAACTAAAGCACCTGGAGCTGGGACTTGAACCAGCGACCTTCTTGCTGTGAGACCACAGTGCTAACCACTGAGCCACGGTGCAGCCCTATATGATGAACATTCATTCATTCATTATATTTCCATCAGCTTAGTCCCTTTATTCAGCAGAGGTCACCACAGCGGAATGAACCCCCAACTTATCCTGCATATGTTTTACACAGCGGATGACCTTCCAGCTGCAACCCAATACTGGGAAACACCCATACACACTCATTCACACACACACACACACTCATACACTACAGCCAATTTAGCTTACCCAATTCACCTGTACCACATGTCTTTGGACTGTAGGGGAAACTAAAGCACCCAGAGCCGGGACTCGAACCAGCGACCTTCTTGCTGTGAGGCCACAGTGCTAACCACTGAGTCACCGTGCCTCCCTATATGATAAACATTCATTCATTCATTATATTTCCATCAGCTTAGCCCTTTATTCATCAGAGGTCACCACAGCGGAATGTACCGCCAACTTATCCTGCATATGTTTTACACAGCGGATGACCTTCCAGCTGCAACCCAGTACTGGGAAACACCCATACAAACTCATTCACACACACTCAAACAGTACGGCCAACTTAGCTTACCCAATTCACCTGTACCACATGTGTTTGGACTGTGGGGAAAACTAAAGCACCTGGAGCTGGGACTTGAACCAGCGACCTTCTTGCTGTGAGGCCACAGTGCTAACCACTGAGCCACTGTGCGGCCCTATATGATGAACATATTTTGTAGAATTATTTTGTAAAACTCACATCTATTACTAGTAAGGTTCTGTGGCCATAAAGCAGCCGAGCTGGTGTTATTCACTCTTCACAAACTGCTCACTGAGAAATAAACTCAGTGCACACCACTGCAGGTCAAAGGTCAAGCCTGATAAAGTGATCAGAACTCGCTGATTAAAAGCTGAGCGGTTTCAGACTTCACCTCTAAATGATGTAAGAGTTGATCTCTGGCCCGGCTATTGATGTGCTGTGACATCATGTCAGTGTTATTGCTATTATTGGCAGCTATTTCTAGTAAGAGTCTATTTGGTCGGTAAATGTGACCTAGTTAGGCTGTTGCGCCATACCGTTTAACCCTGACCTTATTTGTGAGTGTTTATGTCACATGTTGGAATAAATCTGTATAGTGCAGGGTTAATAAAAGTATAGAGCATAGGAAATATTAAGAATTATAATATTTCTAAGGCAACACGTTGGCTCAGTGGTTAGCACTGTGGCCTCACAGCAAGAAGGTCGTTGGTTCGAGTCTTGACTGGGTCAGTTGGCATTTCTGAGTAAAATTTGCATGTTCTCCCCGTGTTGTTGTGGGTTTCCTCAGGGTGCTCCGGTTTCCCCCACAAGTCCGAACACATGTGGTACAGATGAATTGGGTAGACTAAATTGTCCGTAGTGTATGAGTGTGAATGAGTGTGTATGGATGAAGGGCATCCGCTGCGTAAAACATATGCTGGATAAGTTGGCGGTTCATTCCGCCGTGGCGACCCCAGATTAATAAAGAGACTAAGCCGACAAGAAAGTGAATCAATATATTTTGTTTATTGCATATGTAGTTATATAAATCATTCATTCATTCATTCATTTTCTTGTCGGCTTAGTCCCTTTATTAATCAGGGGTCACCACAGCGGAATGAATCGCCAACTTATCCAGCAAGTTTTTACGCAGCGGATATAAATCATATTGTATTGATATTACTCTAAATAAATACAAGCTTCTTTATCTTAGCAAATGGTTTCAGCTAGGGAGCAAATTTCATTGCAAAAAGATAAATAAAATAACAGACAATAAGAATGAACACACTATTTAATGTGAAATGTAAACATTATCTTGACTGGATGATATATGGGGCGAGGCAGTGGCTCAGTAGGTAGTGCTATCGCCTTACGCCTTAGATAAAAAAGCTTGTATTTATTTAAAGTAAAATTAATACAATATGATTTATATCCGCTGCGTAAAAACTTGCTGGATAAGTTGGCGATTCATTCCGCTGTGGTGACCCCGGATTGATAAAGGGACTAAGCCGACAAGAAAATGAATGATTTATATAACTACATATGCAATATACAAAATATATTGATTCACTTTCTTGTCAGCTTAGTCTCTTTATTAATCTCAAAAGTTCGAACCTCGGCTCAGTTGGTGTTTCTGTATGGAGTTTGCATGTTCTCCCTGCCTTCGTGTGGGTTTCCTTCGGGTGCTCCGGTTTCCCTCACTGTCAAAAGACATGCGGTAAAGGCTAAATTGTCCGTAGTGTATGAGTGTGAGTGTGAATGTGTGTGTGGATGTTTCCCAGAGATGGGTTGCAGCTGGAAGGGCATCCGCTAAGTAAAAACTTGCTGGATAAGTTGGCGGTTCATTCCGCTGTGGCGACCATGGATTAATAAAGGGACTAAGACGACAAGAAAATGAATGGATGATATATAAGTAATTTAGACACTTATTTAAATGTAATATTTGTTATTGCAAACAATTAAAAATGAAACACCATAACATACGTGGAAAATGAAGCCATCAAACTGATAAAATACTGTATCTGACTGAAATATCCTTTTAAAAGTCAGTATTTTTTGAGGAATGGAATACTAGAGGGATTTGGGCAGTTGCACATTTTTTTGCACGAATATAACATTTTGCGATTGCATAGAGAGTTTTGTAAGAAACTTCAGTAGCAATGTATTGTAAAGCTTTATAATACAGTGCCCTTCCAGTAGCTTTAAGGTCATTAGTTAAAGAACATATTTTATATTCTGGGACTTCTCCAAAATTGAGGCGACTGTCTGTCAATAGTTATGCTTTCTGTGATAATGCACTAACAAAATCATTAAGAACTTGATTTTACAGTCACAATTTCCCAACCTAATTAGCAGAGAATTCCTATTTAAAGATTTTAACAATGTTAATAATTAAAAGAGGGTGAGGCAGTGGCGCAGTAGGTAGTGCTGTCGCCTCACAGCAAGAAGATCGCTGGTTCGAACCTTGGCTCAGTTGGCGTTTCTGTGTGGAGTTTGCATGTTCTTCCTACCTTCGCGTGGGTTTCCTCCAGGTGCTCCGGTTTCCCCCACAGTCCAAACACATGTGGTACAGGTGAATTGGGTAGGCTAAATTGTCCGTAGTGTATGAGTGTGTGAATGTGTGTGTGGATGTTTCCCAGTGATGGGTTGCGGCTGGAAGGGCATCCGCTGCGTAAAAAC